GCTCTCAAGTTTATGTTCGAACTTTATCTTCTTCTTGTTGCTCCATTGATACAAGTTGAAGGTGTTAGAGATATACAGTAAAAGATCCAAAGGTAATCGAGACTCAGATGATCATCTACAAGGAGTTCACGAACCACGACCCGAAGGCCACGATCCGTCGTTGACCGCTGTCGATCGCGACCAGCCGACGACCCAACGCCGCGACACGACCGGCTCCGACCTCGCGTCCCGATCGGTGTTCTCGACATGCTCGTGTGCCATTCCCGATCAACCCGAATAAGCCATATTCATAACTTTTTAAGTAGTAAGTTTCCTATGTCAAACCGTTAGATCCGTTACGCATAGATTTACGTTTTCTATTGAGTTCGTAACTTGTACATAACGATATCCTCATGGATCCCAACAAGATATGTGTGTTACCCAATTGATCAAAAGACGCAAAGGTAGGGAAAAGAAAGGTAAAATGTGCAATGAAAAGTGACAATGATCAGAAACCCAAACGTTTGTTAGAAGTCTTTGGACATATTAAGGACTATGAATGAAAAACAACAGAATGAACTCAATAAATTGGTTCATATGGAGCCTTGGAAGACCTACCGAGAAATGCTAAAGGCATACACTTCAACAATGGCTGGAGAAGAGTTAGAAACTCACTATGCGCTTCTTGCTGAATTGAAAGAGGAATTTGGCCTCAATTGATTTTGTAATGATTTCTTAATGGATTATGTATTGTATTTTATTTTTTAGTATTTGTGTTGTCATTAATTTTAATTGGTACTTGTTTTTTATTTTATGTACTTTATTTTTTCTTTGTGTTTAATTTGAAATTTTACCATATTTTATTATATTTTGTGTACTATATTCTACATGCAGTAAATACATGTCCACAAATACATAGAGATGTCAAAACGGGCCTGGGCCCACAGGTCAGCCCGCCCCACCCCGCCTAATAGGCGGGTTGGGTTAATATATTATAAGCCCGCCAAAGAGCCGGCCTAAACGGGCTGGCCCGAGCGGGCCGCGTGCTTTGACGGGTCAGGCCTGGCGGGCCGCGGACCAGCCCGCTGTAAAAAAAAATAAAAAATAATTACTTATTTAAAATTAAATGTAACATTAACATATAAGTTGTTTGTTAATGTTAATTGTTACACTTACAGTTACACTACACTTACACTACACGTTTTTACACTCACGTTTTTATGTTTTTTTTTCATTTAAAAGTATA